AATGCCTACTGTATGATTTCACTTATATGAAATCCAGAAACATAAACCACACTTGGCACTTTGCGGAGGGGGTGGGGCTACGACCTGGTGGTAGAGGGACTCCTGGCATATGAGTACTGACTGGCTTTTATAAGTTTGTCCTGGGTTGTTTAGTTGGTGGTAATTTAATGACTGTTCTATTTAAGATCTGTTGACCTTTCTGCATATTTGCTGTAGTTCAACTAGTTAAAGAATTCATTTGAATTAAAAACAGAATGCAGAATTAAGGAAAAACAATAACCACAGCTTTAGGAGGCAAAGTGTCAGCAGGTTACAGTGCTTCGGAGCCCTTTCTTTCATTTGAGGTGGTCTCATATCTTTCCTCGTCTCTGATGACAGGGAACACTCACGCACATATTCATCTGCACACAGCACCAACCACCCCGTGTCTGTAGTGACTCCACAGCAATGTAGAATGACAGGAAACTTGACTTTGAGTGAGTTGACTCTGGGATGGGAAGACACAAAGTAGGGGCAGGAGTCAGCATGGGTGAGCCTTCTTAGTGATGCTATTAGTGTTTCTAACCAGATCAGTAGCTTTAAATGCTATTGACTCCAATTAAGGTTATTACCTTCCATACCTTTACAGTGACTCTTATTAGAACCCACAGTTTCCTACTAACTCAGCAAGTGCATCAGTGTAATATAACTTGTTAGAAATGTGGCTGCATGTACTTACTAAGTGGAGAACAGCTTTAATATGGATTCTGGGTGTCTCTCAATGGTGAGTCTTTGCTGTATTTTTAGGTTTTGGGTTGTTTCACACCAACCTGAAGAAAACAGAAGTTTCTTCTCCAAACTTTGGCTTAAATAGCATATCTATGAGGAAGAAAAACAGCACGGGGTGTGGTTCATTTTCAGCATTTACCTCTCACTGCCCATTTGTTCTTATGTATCTATGTATGGATGCATATGTTTGGGCAAAGCTTGGAATGCAGTGATGGCAGATAGATGGTTCAAGCATGCCTTGACAGGTGCATAGCTAAAAATGGAAACTGGCAGAGATTGAAACTTTTATCATAAAGAAAAATTTTGGTCTTATGATCATGTTATCATTCCACAAATATTTATTGAATTCCTTAAATTTGCAAAACTGTACAAGGCACTGGCAAAGCAGCAGTGAAGAAATCTCATAGAGCTGACATTCTAACGATGACACCATCACTTCTTGACAGCTGTGATGGGTGCTGCTGAGGAACTTGTGCCGTTGAAGCACGTGGAGTGTTTGAAGACTGTAGCATGGAAGCAGGGAACCAACAGGAAGATATCTGAGCTGATTTCTAAAGGAAAATTGCCAGGCTGGTGGTGTGGCTCAAGTGTTAAGAGTGCCTGCCTAGCGAGCGTGAGGCCCTATACACCCAAAGGAACACAACTCAGGATACAGTAGAGACACCTGTACACCAATGTTCATCACAGCACTATTCACAATAGCCAAGCCATGGAAACAACCATGGTGCCCTACAACACATGAATGGATCAAAAAAATGCGGTGCATATACACAATGGAGTTTTATTCAGCCATAGGAATAACGTCATGTGGTTTGAGGAAAATAGATGCAAATGGAGGACATCATGTTTAGTGAAGTAAGCCAGTATCAGAAACATAAGAGCTGCCCGTTTTCTCTTATATGTGGAAGACAGATCCAAAGACAAACACAACACAAAAACAAACAATCATATACAAATTCATATGTAGAACATGTTTGTAACAGTGGAACTACTCTATGGAACTTGGGGAAAGAGGGAAAGGAAAAGAGAATGACAGAGCATCAACCATATCTAAAACATAACATCTGTGAAGGTAGAGGAAATAAGGATATGTATTGAAAGCTGTTGAAAAATAGGAGGTTGGAGGTAAAAGGGTAAGGGAGAACAATGGAAGGAGTTGAGTGGACCAAAATAAAGTATTTCCACAGAAGGGATACATTGAGAAACCCATTTGAACATCGATTTAAATATTAATAAGGAAAGACAGGACTTTAAAATAGGTACAGTGAGTGGGGAGGGTACTCGTGGGAGGGAGAAGGGTAAATGAAGGAGATTGAGGTGAGGGTATACGGATGAAGGACTTTATATACTTGTATGAAATAGAACAAAGAAACTTCTTGCAATTGCTTTAAGTGGGGAGAGAAGGGGGTCGAGGGGGAGAAACGGTGGGGGTGATTTAACCAATGTACAATATAAGCCTAACTTGGAATTGTCACAATGAATCCCCCTGTACAACAAATATATCCTAATAAATAAATAAAAACAAAAGCATGAGACCCTGAGTTCAAACCCCAGTACTGCCAAAAACAAAAAAAGAAGAAAAGAAAAAGAAAAAAATAATAATGATTAAAGGAAAAGGATTTAATTGGTGATGAGGGGAGTGGAGAGATCTCATACATAAGCAGCCGAGCAGTCTTTATATCTTCAATAGCTCTCCCAATGGAGCTATTTCTTATTGGTAGGGAAAGACCATACTGCGTCCAAGAACTGAAAAGGCTAGCACCACATGTGCTAATGAGCAACAAGGACAAATGGCCTTCCACAGGGCTGATGTGGCAGATGGGCAACAAGCACACAGGGACAAGTAAGTTGTGTTAATAATTTGTTCTTTGTCCACATGATTGCAGGATCACACTCAAAGGTCCTAGGCATCCACTTCAACATGGGAAGCAGGTTGGCACTGGTCTGGGCAACTGGACCCACAGTCAGGTTTCCAGGTTTCCAGGTTCTTAGGAAATGAACCTTCTGGACAAGCTTCCTCACTCATAAACTGGGCTTGGACCAGAAAAGCACTGAGGTTCCTTCAGCTCTAAAATCCTACAAATATCTCCATATATTCAAAGCCAAAATGTCAGTTACAGGTCAACTGACATCTTGGTGAACTTTCCCCACCTCTCAGATTCAATTATGAGCCATAATTTAATCTATGTACTGGTGATAGGAGTGAAGTATGATTATTTCAAAGAATGCTTGAAGTTTCAGGATAACAAGTGAGGGAAGAAGGTGGTAGGAACCAGATGCAAAATAAATGTAATTTGTGTTTATAAGAAGTAGAAAAGTATGCAAAACAGGGAAAGATGAGGAAAATTAGCTCACCAGGAAATTTTAACTGAAAGGCAGCTAGTATCAGTCAAGAGAAGCATAGGGCCGGGAGTGGTGGTCATGTCTACAGTTCTAGCTACCCAGGAGGTGTAGATAGAAGGATCTCAGTTGGAGGCCTGACCAGGGAAAAACAAGAGACCTTATCTGAAAAATAACCAATGCAAAAAAGGATGGAGGTATGGCTCAAATAGCAGAGGGCTTGGGCAAGGTCCTGAGTTCAAACCCATGTCCCCCAACCCCCACCCAAAAAAAGTCAGCTTAGGCTAGGAAGGGAGTGTTTATTAGCAAGCCTCATCTTCAGTTGGTAGCGCCACAGTTCCTTCCCCATTTGAGCTGATGTAGTGTTAAGCAAACAAAATTTCCAGCACCCCATACTTGATATTTACTAAAATTAACTTTTTCTCTTTCAAAACTTGGGAGCAGCAAGCAAAGGCAATTGTACACTGAAGGGCAAAACCTTCAGCTCCAAAATCCTACAAATGTCTCCATATAGTCAAAGCAGAAATGTTACAGGTCACCTGCCATCTTGGTGAATTTTCCCCACCTTTCAAGGTTCAATTATGGGCCATAATTTAATCTATGTAATGGTGATAGGAGTGAAGTTTATCTCAAAGAATGTATGTGTTTGCACGGGTTTTAAGTAAGGAGAGGAAGAAAGAAGTGGCTGGGTCACTTAAGTCTAAAGTGCTGTGTTAAATGATACCTTGGAGGTCATCTCTAAAACACACTCATTTTACAGATGAGATGGAGAGGGAGATTACACCCATTGGAGAAGTCTAGCTGCAGCTCAAGGCCTTCCATGGCTCTTGGTGGGCTCTGAGCAGTCCTTTTACTTGCACAGCTGCAGTGGTCTTCCTGGCAGCTGGAAACTCTTCACCCTTCCCCTTTAGGTGGGGATGGCACTGAGTACAGGGTGGGCACAGCGCCCTCTGGGAGCCTCAGGCGGTGGGAAAAGCATAGGTCTTTTGGAGAATGGGAGAGACATCGAAACAGGCTGTGGCACAGTGGACAGAACAGCGATGGAGCCCTGGTACCAGTGTAAAAAGTCCCTAAACTGCTTTTGGTAAAAAGCACTGACTCCTTACTTGGGCCCAGGAATCAACTAAAAGCAGGAGAGAAGAGCTTGTCATCTCTGTCTCCATTTTACCTGTTGTCCTTTGTCTGAGCCATGCTCTCCTGCAGCCACCTTGGAATCAAGGAAGACAGGAATGATGGATAACATCTTTATGACAAGGGACTGAACCTAACCCTAAGGAACAGGGGAGCCTTGCAGGACAGACACCCCTCCACATGAGGACAATTACCTACAATGGTGAGGCTGCACCCTGAGTCACGTCTAGGGAACCAGATTGCTCCTTCAAGTGACAACAGCATATCAAACTCTGCAGGAACCCTGGAAGAACAAGGACTGAGGTAATCATCAACCAGGGCCCACCCGACCACTGGTACGCACCTATGCATACCTTTTGTCCCCTGCCCCTAATTCTTTGTCTATTTTAACCTACAGCCCGTCTCTGTACCCCGAAGATGGCTGAAGATGGGCTGAGGGCTTCCTCCGGCACTTCCCACAGCACGTTTCAGGTGTGTAATAAATCAGAGGATTTATTCTTTGCCCTCCACCATGTCTCTTTATTTGGCGTGTAGGGGAGAGCCGGATTGGACATATGCAATCCCAGGAGTTTGGGCCTGGGGTGCAAAACTCCGGTTTCACCAGCCCCCCCACGGAGCGGCCCCACCGAGGTTGCATGGCTGGGCCAGGGGGAAGGGGGAACAGCGCCCTCACCTCCACTCCCGGTCGCCTTTGGCTGCCGGAAGTGTCTCCCACTGGGGGGCTGTTGAGTATCTTCCTCCTCCGCCTTGCTCCTGTCCAGAGCTGGCGGACAGGAGCGGGACACAAATTTCGCGCGGACCGAGTGGAGGCGGACCGTAAAGAGGAACGGACCGGAAGTGGCGGTTGTCATAGCCACCGAAGGGTTCGGCCGCTTCCCGGCCTTCTCGGCTGGATTCTCTCGCTTGGTTTTGGTGAGGTCCGGGAAGTAGGACGAGGAAGCGCCGACGAGGAAGCACGAGGTCCCCACACGGTCCAGCGGAGGCTACCAGGGCGGGGTCGGCCAGAGGACTTGGGAAAGGACCAGACCGGAAATGGAGGTTTCCATGGTAACCCCGGAGCGGGTTGCCTGGGAGACGACCCCTTTCGATGTCTCTTGACTGTGCCGAAGCGTCACCTGCGAGGCGGATCCGACATCCTGCGCTGTCTTCTGCCATGATTCCCGGGAAATACCGCTCGGTTTCGGGCCGGGCTGCGAACAACGTAGGTTGGGCCTCCTGCTTTGTCCTCCGCCATCGGCTGCGCTGAGGGGCGGGGTCTTTGTCCTGGTGATGGGCAGCATGGCCGTGACCTGGACTGCCAGGTCGGCTCCAGCTGTGGTGTGACGAGGCCCACAGAGCCCTGGGGCACCTCCAGTATGGAAGGACTTGGGGCTCATTCAGTGTGGCAGGACTTGGGGCGCATTCACAACCCTGTCCAGGCCCTGGCCTCCCCAGGACGGGGAGCTGCGCTGCTGCACTGGACCCAGGTTCATTGACCGTCCTGCAGACAGGCAGTGCCTTTTCTTTTTCACGTGAGGAGAGTGTATTCTGAGGCACGCCCACCTCCCTCACCTGGACATTGACTTATTTATTCAGACCTGCAGTCCCAAGTGTCCCAAGGCTGAGGTACTAGAGGTGGGTTCAGTTGGTGTTGGTATTTTGAAAAATAAACCAATGAAACCTTTACACTTGTAGATGTGATTTTATTGAGCGTGATAATTTGCCCCAAAGAAACAAAAATGGAGCGTTCTGTGGTTTTTATTATTTTTTGTTGTTGTTTTATCTGTATCTGTGCCATTTGGGGGGAGAATACGTGCGTATTAGTTAAGAGCAAATCTTACGATTTAATTTTTACATTTCAGGTGAACTGTGGGCTTCATCTGGTTATTCAAGCATCAACGCTTCCTGAGAAAAACAAAGTAAGATTTATGCACAGTGGTATTTAAATTGAAGATGTGTGTTTTATATTCTACACAAATACTAGCATGATTTAAAGAATAGGTACTGACTTAGAAACTTTAAGTGCAGTTACTTTGGTCTCCAACGTAAAGCTGATTTTTATTTCCTGCCTACATAAAACCAAAATTAGCATCTTTTAAAATCTTGATGTCATTTCATTCATTACAAGAGGTAAGTTTCTGACACTTAAATTTTTTGAAGGGAAGGTCTTTCCTAAAATCAGTGGCATGTCATAGTTAGTGGGGAAAGTCTTTTCTTTCTTACTAGTGAGTAAATACATGTCTTTACTACCAATGGCATCTTAGAAGGGAGAAAAATGGGAGGGCAGAACTACACATTCCATTTAAAATTGGGGAAGAAACACTAGGTTAGTGGGAGATATTGTTACACTTATTTTTATATGGAATATTCTCACAATATTCTGAATGTGAGATCCTTTTCCCCCACTATTTGCCCGTGATATTGCTGGTATTTGTAGAATTGCTGGCTTTTTATTTGATGTTTGAGATTTTGATAACATGTTTTCCCTCCTCTCCTGTCTCACCTCAGCGATCAAACATACCCAGTTCCCACACTGTGTCTCAAGATACAGCAAAATTAGCCAAGTTGGACACTGTTGTCCAACCATCACCATTCTGTTGTGTCCGAAAAAACTGTTGAATAGCTGTCACTGGAGGAAGTCTAAAGAAAAGCTCAGAGTTTACAAATAACAGCACAAGGAGGGGAAGAAGGGGGTTAAGGAGGGTGGACGGGAGGATGTTTGGTTAAGCAGGCAGCAGCTGGTTACAGTATGTATGTATGTGAACTTAGTGATCACTTGAAAAATAGACCATTTGACCATTGGCAATAATAGCTGTATCAGTTGAAAATATCACTTATTATAACTGGGCATAATGGATTCCCTCTAAAACTTTCCTAATTGATTTTGCTGGAAAAATCCTATTCTATTGTAATGCTTTTAGAAATTTTGTGTCTCAGTCAAATCCTTTTCTAACCATTCACTTTCTGTTGTGGACGTATCTGGGCAGAAAGCACTAGCTCTTTTTAATTAGAAGGATGGAGCTGGCAGAATGGTAGAGCACTTGCCTATAGCAAGTGTGCATCCCTGAGTTCAACCTCTCAGTACTGCCAAAAAAGTAACTCAGGAGGATATAATGCACATGCTGATGTAAAATTGATAGTGCAGATAAATGACGTGCTATAATTCATTTAAGATATATGTTTAAAGTTTTTGTGGCTGATCAGAAGAGATTGTTTTGATTTCAGTCCTTCTACCAGACAATTATTTAAAATCAATTCAGTGACAATTCTTGGGAGGTTTACATATATAATTTTATTATGTTATAATTAGACATTTAAAGAAATTCTAATAATCATACATTTTTCAGACATCATTTAGTTTTTATTCTGTGCTTTCTACCTTTTTTTTTTAAACAAATGATTCTTTTAATCACTGTATTTGTGGTGACAGTATGGAGGGTGGGAAGTACTCAGATTGAAGCTTTCATCTGATCTCATGAATGTGGCTCTGATGCCATGTATGGCAAAATACGTGACGTATTTTCAATTTGAGTCATTTTAAGGTGCCACTCTGGCATGAAGCGCATTCACAGCACTGTGTAGCCATTGCCTCCCATGTACCTCCACGTCTTTTTTTGTCACTCCAGAAAGAATCCCACATTCATGAAGCAGATGCTCCCTATTCCCCCTTATCCAGAACCCTTAGAAGCTGCAAATACATTTCCTGTCCTTATGGATTTTCCTATTGTTAGTATTTTATATGAATAGAATTACAGCACGTGACCCTTTGTGTCTGCCTTCTTTCACTTAGCCCTGCATTTCTAAGGTTCATCCACGCTGTAGCATGTTATCAATTACTTGCTATTAATAATTGTCTTCATTACTGTTAAATTCCTTTTCATACATATTTTTTAAATAACATTTTTCAGGTTGAATTCAGGATTAATAGAGAAACACCATCATTTCCTGGTAGACTTTTACAACATGATCTTGAAAGAAACTACTCCAGTAGGCAAGGTATTGTCGGTGAGTAGAGATCAGATGTAGTTAATCCTTTTTGAGTAATATTAATTGTTTAATGATGCTGAGTTTCTAGATCCAAGTAAACTTAAATTTAAAAATGAAATGGCTCATTGGTTACCACGTTGGTTTGGTATTTTTTAAAATCAGAATTGGTAGATTATTTCCAATACAGGAAAAAAACTCATTATTTTAGTTTGAGGGTAGGCTATACTAGAGAAAAGGAAAAGAGTATTTCAAATACTATATTAGAACTAGAAGAAAAGGCTAATTCGTGAAACTAAGAGTTTGGGAACACAATATTTAGATCATAGGGAAAGAATGTAGAGTTGGGAGTGGAAAAGAAGTAGTGTCTTCCCTCACTGTCACGCATACTTACAGGTGTTTATACCACAGGCCTTAAGCTTTGGTGCATATCAATTGGGATCTTGTTAAAAATGCATCTGTCTCCCC